GAGCCCCCCCCCCCCCTTCCTCCCGTCTGCACGCCCCCGGCCTGGCCCGCGCTGTTTGACGATCTTGGCTGTGTGTGTGTGTGTGTCCGTTTGTAGCTTGCGAAAGGGCGACCGGCCACGGCGGCTGCCGCGACGGCGGCTACCTCTGCTGAACCTGCCATGCCCCCACCTACCGGTGGCGGCAGCAGCAACAGTCGGAAGACGTCCAAGCCTGCCGCTGCCGCTGCTGCTGGTGCTGCTGCTGGTGCTGCTGCTGCTGCTGCTGCTGCTGCTTCTGGCGCGATATCTACGTCGAAGGTGCCTTCTTCAGCGGCAGCGGTAGCAGCAGTGGCGGCAGAGAGTGGCAGCGTGCTTGAGAGAAAGGATGATGTTGCCGACGGGATGAGCGTCGATAAGGATGATGATGGTGCCGTCGCCGGCGGTGGCGGTGGTCAAGCAGTGAAAGAACTGGAGGAAAAAATGGAAGGAGGGCCCGGGAACGATTCCGTCGCGAAGGGTAAGCGGTCAGCGGCGAGAAGGACCCGAGCCCATGAGCGGGAAGACGAGCCTGGTCGTGCTGCTGCTGCTGCTGCTGCTGAAGCAAAGGGCGAGGCGAGAGGGGCCGAACGACGGGGAGGAATAGCGGGAGCGGGTGGGAATGCCGCTGGCAAGAAAGCCTCGTCTACCACCGCCGCCGCTGTCGCTGATGACGATCAAATCGGGGACGGTGCCGATGACGCCGACGGGGTGGCAGGGCCAACACCGTGGGGTGATGATGATGATGATGATGGTGATGGTGGCGGCGGCGGCGGCGGCGGCGGCGGCGGAGGGGGGCGCCCGGCCAAGCGGAAGAGAGGCAGTGAGTTCGTTCCCTCTTGCACCCCCGGTTCGGGGCCTCGGGGGCAGAAGCGGGGTTGCCTCTAGCAGGGCCAGGGTTGTCGAGGATTGATGGCAAACCTGCGTGGGTGTTGTCGTAGATGGCCCTTGTGTTTGTGTGCGGGGACATCGTAGGATGACCGCGGGATCCGAGCCGCTTTGGAAGCAAAGTGTTTGGGCTGCCGACTTTGAACGGATGCAGATCGGTGCCTGAAAAGCATTTGGCCGCTGCGTCCGGCCCCACCCCGGGGCCCTCTTTTATGACCTCAGGCCATGTTGCGTCACTGCTTTTTTTTTTTTAGAGCTAATGTGAGAAACAACAACAACAACAACAACAACTGCTGCCGAATGTACTCACGGCAAAGGGTGGTGGCAGTGGCCTGTGCCAATCTTCCCGCGAGATCTGTGGTGATGGTATGTGCTTTGCGTCTGCGCTGCTCACCCCCCCCCCCCCCCCCCCCCCCCCCCCCCCCCCCCCCCCCCNCCCCCCCCCTCCCTGACCCCATTCGCTGCGCTGCTCATCTCGTCGTTGTCATGTAGCGCAACCGCCGAGGCGTGCCCGGGGCGAAGAGGGCGACGCAAGAGGGGCCGATGCCGGCGATGCGAACGTAGAGGACGACGATAGGCAGCAAGACGAAGAGGAGGAGGAGGAGGAGGCATCGTTGGAGAGGAGGGGGAGGGGATCACAGCAGCGCAGCAGCGTCCCCGCCCCGGCCCCCGGCGGCTGGATGACCGCCCACAACGCCTCATCTTCCCAGAAGGACAAGCGCCCCAGAGGGGGAAGGGTGCGCAAGGCCGGCGGTATTGGTGGAGATACAGAGGGGGAGGTGGAGGAGGATGAGGACGGCGAGGAGAGGGCACGGCTGGCGACGCCAGCGGACCCGGCCGTTACCGAGATGCGCAGGCGAGGTTTTTGTTTTGCGCCGTGTTGTGTTGAAGTTGCTGTTGTGGTTGTTGTTGTTAAGACATGGTGTCGACGCTGTCGTTGTTGCGTCGAATGCTGGGCGCGGGCCAGGATCGAAACGATGCCCACGTGTTACTGCTTGTTTGGCACGTTATTCTGTGTGTAACCTGCTTGTTGGCGTAAATAGTGTCATTGCTTTTTTGTATACAGTTTTGTTCGTACCCCGACAACGCGTGGTCGACCCTTTGTTGCTGGTGTGACCCAACCGTTTAGCTCGAGTTTCCCCAGCAGCCAGCGAAACGTGTAGCCTTGACCCTTCTTCCCCAGCGAAAGTATTTACTGCTGAAATGCAGAAGAACGCGATCGGCTGCCCCACGAACACCCCCCCCCCCCCCCCCCCCCCCCCCCCCCCCCCCCCCCCCCCCCCCCCCCCCCCCCC